TCATCAGCAGCACTGAATGTGGCCAAGACAATACAAACAACACTGCACAGATTTAACTGGTCGGCGTAACCAGAAGCACTTTGATATTTTTAACGTTGATGATATCTTTTAATATCTGCTATATTGTAAATATATCTTGACCTGGTTATTCTTGTCAAATCTGATAGCACTATACCCAATTTAACCAAACTGTAAATAGATGTTTTGATGATATTGTTAGACAATAAGAGCAAAATCTTTTTGTTTTGCAGATAGTGATTTGCTTGTGGTTGCCAACCACCACCCATTTTCATAATATCACATTCACAATGTGTTGTAAAGAAGCGGTAGGTACTCTTGATTAGAGTTTATACATTTGTTAACTTAAAATCTATCTGTAAAATTTGCACTTTAAACACACTGATTTATTTGTAATAAACTCTTGGGGTCGATCTGTTTTCCTTTTGCCTTTAATTGAGTCCAGATGCCCGCGTCGATTTGGGTAAAATTTGCTAAATGTGTTTTTTCGTAACCAGAAAAAAAAATCTCTCATTTACATTGGGTTGTGGGAAAAAATGCGCTCAATGAACCAGCACAGAAATTCAAATAATTGGATTTAAATTACACTGACAAAACACAACAAGAATTGATGTATTTAAGATCTGTCAAGAAGAGAGAAGGACAGCGAGCAATCAAATTGATCTCATAGCCTGAAAAGGTCAGTTTATATATCTCAACATTTTCAGTAACATTTTCTTGTTTATACATTTAAATTTACATGCATTATTTGACTGTGTGTCTATAGGCATTCAAAAATGTGGGTTTAGTAAGATCTTTTAATGAAAGAAAATCATTACTTTTATTAACACTCTAAAAAATGCTGGTTTGTTAAAACCCAAATGTTGGGTCAAATATGGACAAACGCAACTGTTGTGTTAAAAAAATGCAATTAAAAAATGTTTGGTCGGGTTAAAAGTTCTCGAGAGAGCTTTCATGTCCAATTTTTAACCAGGAAACTTCTGATAGCACATGAAGGCAGCATTGGATCCATGCATTAGGTCTTAAAGTGACAGCAGCCTAATATTCCGGCTGCTGTCTGTCATTAATGTTGATCAAACAACAAAAGACAAAAAGAAAATCACTCACTGATCTAGACTTAATAACTTTTTTAACAAGGATTAATCTATAATTAGATATTCGGTGAAGACTGTTATTGCATTTGATTATTCTACTACATGAATAATATTAGAACTAATGAACTGTTAGACTTATAACTGAAAATCTTAAAGCCCTGTTTATTTCATTTGTTTCATCTTTGTATATTGTATTTATTTGTGCTTTTGTAATTTGTTAATGTGTTCTTATTTTATTATTTAGCCTACTGTTTACTTGTTTTTAATGTTTGAAGTTAGTATTTTTTTGCGGTTGTATCGAAATTTGGATATTTTTCACAGGTATCTAAAATGTTGGTGTCTTATTTAATAGAATAATAATTATAAGTATGCTTAATGTGCAAAAATAAAATAAAAATCACCCAACTATTGTAACAAGACTTTAAAAAGGTAAACATTATATTTTAGCATTGTGTGTTGTGTTAAAAATGCACTTAACAATTGTTAGATTGGGTTAAAAGCTGGGTTCAATTTTGAAATGACATTTTTAACCCAACATTTGGGATTGTCCATAATTTACTCAAATTTGGGTTAAAACAACCCAGCATTGTTAAGAGCATTAAACTGATGGAATTAAATTGTTAAGAATGATTTCTGAAGTTTTTCTGATTTTAAAATATGTTAAAAATTTAAAACAGTTATTTTGAAATGTAACAATTATTTCACAATACAACTGTTTTTAGATGATGCATTTTGGCTATATATTTGCCTTGTTTTTGTAATTCAAGCTATTTTTTGTTTCTCTAGTGCTCAATCAACATGACAAACATCATTTCAAATGCAACCAATGCACACGAAATCTACAGTAATACAAGCAATTTTCTATTGTTGCTTCTTAAAATTGTGGATAAGTGCAATGAAAAAGATTATTCCTGTGTTCGCTTGCCACTGCATATTTTTACTCTCGTGGTGGGTCTGCCAACTAATTTGGCTCTACTATGGCTGCTGGTGAGGGGTGAGAAAGCTTTGTCACCTTCTGAAGTTTCGGGGCTCAATCTTGCCATGATGAACATACTCTACTGTGTCAGTCTTCCTCTTTCTGTGTACAATTCTCTGACTCAAGCCACTGGAACGCTTCTCATGGTTTCTGAGGCCATCTCTATCCTCAACATAATCGGCTGTCCTCTCCTCTTGACCAGTATGTGCGTGGAGCGCTACTTGGCCGCAGCACATGCAGTCCTCTACATGAAGCTCGGGAGTAAATGGGAGTATCGTGTTTTCTGCTCGGCTGTAATCTGGATCTTAACTTTGGGCATTGCACTGATTACCTACCAAGAAAGGCTCCCTAAAATAGCTCTGTACTTGTCAATCATCCTTGATGTTTTCTTACTGATAATGCTTGGATGTCTAATGGGCATTGTGTGTGCACTCTCCAAAAAAGGTCCAGGTGAAGAAGGGCAAACTGGTGGAAAAGGTGGCTCACCCGTAAAAAACAGAGCACTTAAGAACACCTTGTTGATTCTAATCCCAACGGTTGTAATCTACGCACCTCTCCTGGCTATAGCCCCTTATGTGCTCACACTTGATGATGTAGATAAAGAAATTAGTGACACACACTGTTTGTTCTTGAATCTGTTGAATGCCTTTCCCAGTCTCGGGGCCTGTATCGGGCCTGTGTTTTTTATGTCCCGTGCAAAACAACTACCCTGCTGGAAGAAGATTGCTGAAAAAGAACAAACAACCACTCAGGAGCAACAGCATCCCAAGTGAAGTTTCTTTCATGACATTCATCTGATATATGACATGAAGACATAAAAAATAATGAATCTTGTGGCTTTTAGTTTTTACTGATATAAAAATGTATAAACATGATTACGTAAATATTCTGAATATTGTTACTTCGTGACAATAAAAATCTTATTGTCCTTTTGTTTTTTCAGACAAAAAACCTTTTTGTAATTAATTAGTGTAGGCTTCCTTTTTCCCTTTTTGTATTAAGTTTTTTAGTAAATGCAATTTTATTTTAATCTATAATAATCATATACACTACTTTGGCAAAAAGACATGGCGATTTGAGAGAAAAAAAGCAAATAAAGAAGTTATAAGAGCAATTGTTATCCCCTACACCGTGTTTAAAGTTTGTGACCCGCCCATCTTGGGAACATGCATGGGTATCAAAATTATCCCAGAACTTTCCAGTGGTAAATATGCCTTGAGAGGGCTTTCATGTCCAATTTTTAACTGACTCGTATTTACGATAATTCTGATAGCACATGAAGGCAGCATTGGATCCGTGCATTAGGTCTTAAAGTGACAGCAGCCTAATATTCCTGTGCTGTGCTGTCTGTCATTAATATTAATCAAACAACAAAAGACAAAAAGAAAATCACTCACTGATCTTGACTTAATAACTTTTGAAGCTTTAACAAGGATTAATCTTTAATTTGATATTCTGTGAAGACTGTTACTTTGCATTTGATTATTGTATATGAATAATATTAGAACTAATGAACTGTTAGACCTGAAAATCTTAAAGCCCTGTTTATTTTATTTGTTTCATCTTTGTATATTGTATTTATTTGTGCTTTTGTCATTTGCTTATGTGTTCTTATTTTATTATTTAGCCTACTGTTTACTTGTTTTTAATGTTTGAACTAGTTAGTATTTTTTGCTGTGGTATCGAAATTGGGATTGGGATTTTTTTTAACAGAAATCTAAAATGTTGGTGTCTTATTTTGTAGAAAAATAATTATAAGTATGCTTAATGTGCAAAAATAAAAATCACCCAACTATTGTAACAAGACTTTAAAAATGTAAACATTATATTTTGATTTTGCAGGAAATGTAACTGGTGATATATTTGAACACTCTTGCTACATTGAGCATTTTTTAAAACGATCACGTCACAAAAAATTATTTGAATAATGTGAAAGGAAAAAAATGTATGTGCAGAAACCCTTGATATATGTAATATTTAGCATATGACATTTAATATTTAGGTTTTCATATTTATAAATGTTAATTTATTGTGCGTATTAGTTTAATCATTTGAAGCATATTGAATATTCATTTGAATAAATGAACATTTATTCTGGAATGTTGGTCAAATACAGGCTATTTTCGCTGTGTAGGCCTATAAAGTATGATGATAGCCTATAGCCTACATTATAGTACACAGAGAAAATAGCCTGTATTTGACCAAAATTCCGGAATAGTCAGCAGCAAGCTGACTTAGCGTGGTGAATGTTTAAATCGCTGTCAATGGGACGCTAAATATAATTTGGGCTTTAATAAGATTTTCCAAATTAATAGGGAAGAATAAACCTGGTGTCCTCCATGGTTCCTGTTATTTTTCTTACAACAAAGCATGCGACAATCTCAATTTAAGAAGTGGGAAGTGGGGCATTTCTGAGGGCAGCATCATAAGACAAAGTGACAATACCAGCATTTTCACATTCACAAGCTATTGGAAATTCCCTTCTTCCCACTTCTGAAATCATGAGCTCGCATTTGCTTGTTGTCAGAAAGAACAAGAACCGTGGAGGATAGGCCTACGTGCTCTAAAATTATTCTTGCAGTCACCTCTTATTATTTTCGTTAGTTTTAAGGATTTACAAATTACCAACTCTGGGGTTCTTTCTTGTAGGTTCAATATGGTTTAAACCTTAAAATAAAAATATGGAAATTTTTACAAATATTAACACATTTTACAGCTTTCTTAATTTTCAAACTCGAACTTCTACCTTTAAAATCAAAACAGGGCTCATTTCTCCATAGCCTATATATATTTATGCTAAATTTAGCTCGAATTTATAATATTCAAGACATGTACGAACAAAAAATTTTCAAAACACTTTCAACTGTTTTGAAATTTTTTTGATGTGATCCCTTATAAGGATAAATCTGGGGACAACTTCACGAAAATGAAAGCAGCATAAGGTCCGTACGTGACAAGGAAACTGGTGTTGGTGACGTGCGTACGTACTCAACACACTCTGGAGGACAGAAGTTTCCTGGTCAGTTTTGTTTTGTTGTGTATTTTCTGTTAAGATATGATTGAGACCACTTTGCTTTGATATTCATTCGGCAGATGATATGCTGTCCGATAACAGCATTATAGCAAAGTTATGTGCATTTTAGATTCAGATGTATAGGAACTGATCACGTGTTAAGTTTCAGCTGTATCGTGCGGTACCGGAGTAAAGAGTCTTGTTGAATTTACATTATTTGTTTTGATTTGATTAAGTGTTTTACGTATAAGATGTGACAAGCACAAAAAAATCTCTTTATCCAAACAGCAAAAGTCGGTGGTTTACATGATGGAAGGTGATTCACCTTCAATAACACGTAGCGATGAATATCGACTGCTTGAAACATACTGCCAGAAGAGAAAGCCACAGCAACGGGTCTGTATGCTCAGCCTGGGGGCACAAACAGGTCAGACCAGAGAGAAATACTGCACTTGATAACTTTCGTTTCTCTTTCGGAAAGTCACATTAATTGTAATTTGAATGACATTGTCTGAAAAAAAAAAAAAAAAAAAAACAGGTGGCGAGAAATATGAAAATGTGGCTGAAAAACTGACCCGGATTGTAGACAGTGGACTTCTTGTTGACGATGGGATAGAGCCAGATTCTGGTAAAGTGTAGGCTCCTGTTATACACATTCAATTCTTACATCAACATAAAAGTAATCGAAATATAATCCTATTAATTATCTAGACTGTAATTGTTCTATGTCCTTGTTTTTATAAAAGTAAACACAGATGTTATAGAGCAGCTTGTCGACTTACTGAAGAAATCAGGGGATGACTTAAATGAGAAGGTAATCATCATTATCTCTTTATAGTCTGTAGCCTAACTGTAGTTATACAAAATTGTTACGTCCTTAAATGTCCCATTTGCCTTCTCAGATTGAGAAGAACCATGAGCTTTTGGGAAACCTGCAGTGTACTTTCTCTTATGACTTTTTTGAAAAATTGATCTCAGCCTTCATCAAAAGTGTGGTACCAGAATTTCCTCAGAGCAGAAACAAACATGAGCAGATCGCCCTGACCTTTGAGGTGACCAGCAGACTCAGAGCCTTGGACCTTCAGCCCATGAACAAGGTCATGGGATTCGGAGCTCAGTACCTGCAAAAGAACTTCACTCCCTGGGTTAAACAGCACGGTGGTTGGGTGAGAGTTTATGCACCATTTACATTACAAATACTTTGTTGAAATGTATTGTTACAAATAAACAAGTTTACTAGAAATGAATGCCGCTTACTAAATACAATAATTACAAAAACGTGCGATATACTAAATGCATCTTATTCACTATAGGAGAAAGCCTTTGATGACGACGATGAGGTCCATTGACAAGATTGACTGGTTATTAGAATTATGATAAAATATGAATGATTTTTATTTTTTTTAATTTTTATATTTAAATGTGTATATTCTCAGGATTGACTATGTACCTGCTGACTATGTACTTGCAAATTAGTTTACATTTATTGTAAAATAACATTGTGTTAGTGAATTAAATGTGTCCTTAACACATTGCTGCACACTTTTAAAATGCAAACCAAAATATAATGCTAAAATATAATGCTTTATTGATTGAGAAGTTTGCTTTGTTGGGCAACAAATAAAGCAAGCACCACAAACATACAAATACAGTATGGCATTGGAATCAGAACAGTGCTTCGTTATTTTTATTTTTCATTATATGTACATATCAACTTCATTCATTGCTGCCTACAGCAATATGAAGTTTAAAGGGATAGTTCACTTTGAAATTAATTTTTGGTATGTTTTAGCTTACCTCAAGGGCATCAAGGGACATAGGTGTCTTTGCTTCCGCAGTAGTTTCAATTTGATATAGTTTTTGGTCAAACCGTTCGTGTCTATCAGTCATATAATGGAGGTCTATGGGGTCCACCTCAAAGCACATGCACAGAGAAGTCCAAATTAAACATGATTCAATGACTCATAAATGTAAGTGCACATTGATGGCCCAAGACACGAAACGAGCTGTTTTTATATAGATTTTACCTCTTGTAACCACAGCCACGTTCAAGTCATCTGAGGGCGCGGACGCTTTGTGGCTGTGGTTACAAGAGGTAAAAACGATATAAATACTGTTCGTTTTCTCACACAAACCGCTCGTTTCGTGTTTTAGGCCATCAATGTGTACTTACTGTACATTTACGAGTCATTGAATCATGTTTAATTTGGACTTCTCTTTGCATGCTCTTTGAGGTGGACCCCATAGACCTCCATTATATAACTGATAGACACGAACGGTTTGACCTAAAAATATAAAAATTGAAAATACTGCTGAAAAAAAAAAACACCTACATCTTGGATGTACTTGAGGTAAGCTAAAACATATCAAAAATTAATTTCAAATGGAACTATCCCTTTAAATAAAATGGAACTGGGTTATAATTCTGTCTTAAGCACAACATTAGGCACAAAGAGGCAAAGACGAGATAAATATTAAATCTGTTGATTTTCTTTAGTGTCTTCTTAATACATTGTAGCAATGATTTGTTTTGATTGCTATATGATGAATATGGTTGCAATATTTCACACCTATTCCGTTCACTTTAAAATGAACTATTCCTTTCCTTATTCATTAAAAAATTCTGACTTTTACTCACCCTCACGTTCTTCCAAACCTGTATGAATTTCGTTCTTCCGATGAACACAAGGAAAGATATTTTGAAGAATGTCAGCAACCAGACAGTTGATGGACCCCATTGACTTTCATAGAAAAATGGAAGTCAATGGGGTCTATCAACTGTTTGGTTACAAACATTCTTTAAAATATCTCCTTTTGTGGTCAGCAGAAGAAAGAATTGTATACAGGTTTGAAACAACTTGAGGGTGAGTAAATGATGACCGAATTTTCATTTTTAAATGAACTTATTCCTTTAATTTGTGACAAGGCAAGACCAATGGATGTGTAGCCCAGATAAATCAACATCACTGCAAATGTTACAGTATTAATGTAAACTGAATTTAATCATGTAAATCATTTGTATTTGTATAATTCTACAACGAAGCACTGGTGACAATGTTTGTCTAGATACCAAGGTAAGTGTTCATTTTCCCCAAGGCATCACAGACAGTGGTCAGGTCGCTGCGTAGATCTTGAACCACGTTCTCGATGCTCCTGGTGTCCTTCAATAAATCAATGCTCTGGGTGTATGGGTTGTAGTAGACCGAAAAAGGCCTCTTTATTGTTTTAGCAAATTCCCTGTTTAGAAGGAAAAATGTATTAAATTGATATTATATATGACATATGTGTCTCTTTTATACAGATTAAGTCAGAGTTTTAGATTGTTCATGACTGAGTAGACATATATTCTACCTCATTTTCTCTTTTGCCTCTTCAAAACTCTCAGAGACAAAATAAACGTCTTGAAATGTTGTAATGAGGCACTCCTGGTAGCATGTGGTTTTGGGATCAAACATCTTCACTTTTGCTTTTTCAGAAAGCGCATGCTGCATAATCAAAGAGGATTATACATTCAGTTGACTATTAACTTGACATTTAAATACTTGTGGTGTTTATGTACGGTTAATGAAGGGCTTCTTACCCTTAACTCTCCAATAGAAGACAGTAGACCTGCTCCGTATGCCCTTAACTGGCCATCCTGTTTGCACAGCCCAAACTCAATTGTGAAGAAATAGCACTGGGGGGGGGAAGCACAGTGGTTTATTGCATAATAAACATGTCTTGCATATTTCAAAGGTTTGAAAGCAAGGTTATCTACAAGTTCCTTCAGACCCTTATGAGATGTACACTCTCATATTGAGACTTCCAAAAAATGTTATACCCAGATCTGATTGTGTCTCAAAGCCTGCCATACAGAGCCATTGATATGATTTCAATGCAAATGCATGCGACTCGACACCATAGATCAAACTTTACGCCACGAAAAAACTTCGGTGACCTTTTTATTTCCGTATCTAGTTAGGAACCTGCCAGTGAAGTTCCATGTGACATTTAAGAATTCAATAAGCACTTACTGTTGCCAGCTTCTGCACATCCTCATCTGAAGAGCCTAGAGATGCAAGGCCAATCTCCTGAGAAAACTGAGCAAACTTGGGATCAGCCAGGAGTGGTACATGACCCAGAAGTTCATGACAGGTGTCTCTGAGGACATGAAAACAGTTAACAGGTTAGAAGAGATTACGTTTTCTGCACACAAAGTAAAAGTGTGGGGCTTTTGCTCACGGTTCTGGTGTGTAGAGCGGGTCTGTGCTGTGACGTATATACTGAGTGCAGTTAAACACTCGATAAGCCAGGCCGGCCAGGAAGTCTCGTGGTGACAGATATCCAGCCACAGGCCGTACGGTAAACCCTGACCTCTCTGCAAAGGTCACAACCCAAACCACCACATTAAAGAGAGTTGACTTTCTTTGTCATAGAATGAGTGGAATTAATAATGCAAGAAGAAAGCAGTTTTCCTATCACCTCGTAAGAACAGAGACACATCTTCCAGCTGTGGAATGTTGTCCTCTCTGTACCCACAATGCTTTGTGAGAAGAGGGAGGTTTTTCAAGTACTCGCGGCAGGCGTGAGTTGGATAGAGTTTTGTAAGTTCTCTGAAAACGACTCCCCATGTCCTCACTTCCTCTGGTGTGTACTCTATTCGTGGGATAGGCTGGCCACTGTTACACAAAGGACATTCGGATTAATTTTACGTATGAAAAGCGGAAGAAAATTGACTGTCATTTCAGTTAGTCAATTTGTAAGACTATAACTGCAGTTTCATATTTCCATTTATGTAATTGTACACTGCCCGGCTGTTTGGATTTAAATAGGCAAATGCTTCAGAGTCTATGACTGGATATGTTGAACGGTTCTTCTAACCCTAACTGATGGAGTGTGTTGCTTTTCAGGTCATCCTCAAAACGTTTTACCATTCGTTTATAGAGACTGTTATGACTTTTTCCATCTCTTGCTGGTTCCACTCCATCACTCTACAAAATAGAAACCACCTGGAAAACTCAGTCAAAGTTTGTTCCAAAATAATAGGACATCCGGTCAGAGCCCTCCCGATTGTATGTGATCAGCAGATGTTGAGGTTAGCTGGCAGAATTTTACAGGACCCATTACACGCTATGTTCCCTGCATTTGAGTGGCTTCCCTCTGGACGCCGGCTACGCTGTCCAAACTGCAGAACTCAGAGGAGAAGGGCAACCTTTGTACCTAAGGCTGTCCAGCTTCTAAACTCCCAACCATCTTTGAAATCTTTCTTACCCTGATGACTTTTTACTTCTTGCACACTTTTGAAGTGATTTATGGACACCTGCAAGATTGGACTATGTTGTCTATGGACTGATCGGACTATCTCTATGTTGCTAATGCTGATATATATCTGCCCATCTGCTCACTTATTTATCTATTTTTACCTTTATTATTATTATTATTATTATTTAAAAGGTTACTTTTATCTTTATTTTGAAATATTACTTGTACTAATCCACGGGCCTTGCAATTGCCCCATGGGGATAAATAAAGTTTTTTGAAATTGAAATTTTCTTAAACAAGCATGTAGGAAAACACATAATGGCCATAAACCAGGATGACAGTGTCAAGATTGAAGGTACCTCTGAGTCCAGATCAAAATCTTGACCAAAAACTGAGGAAAATAAATGTTGTGATGTTATTGGTCAAGATCTTATATTGACAATGGAAGAATCAAGCACTCTGTAAATGTAAAGTCGACTCCAGCACATCCCAAAGACTTTCAATGAATTTAAAGCTACACTGTGTGATTTTTACCCCCATCTAGCGGTGAAAAGGTATATGACCATCCAGTGAATATTAGTTTCTGTTCCTCTCAATTCCGATTTTGGTGGTCAATGTAGTCCAAGATTAACATGGATTCCAGTTCGACCTCGTCCATGAGTGTTAACTCAAACGTAAACGCGAAAGGCGAAGCTTGAATTAACGGGTATGTCCCTCTTTGGCTAATGTACTTTCAAGATGGAGGGGCAACATGGCGACCGACATTAGAACCCCTTACCCGTATGTATTTTCAATGGCATATTATACACTTACGAGAATACTTTATTACTTGAACGAAGTAAATATACATTAATGAGCACATATATTTTTGAAAGAACTAAGTGTTTTTAGCTAAGAAGAATAAACTAAAAGAGTTACACAGTGTAGCTTTAAGGTCTGGACTTCAATTCATGTGTGAAAATGATTCTTTATGCTCCCCCTCCCAACCATTTTTTTCACAACTTGAGCCTGATGAATCTTGGTTTTGTCACCCTGGAATATGGCCATGCTGTGTCTTCCTAAGAAATAAAAAGCTACACACTCCACCAATTAGTGTTAGAAGAATTGTTACCAAACTAATGCCATGCAAAAAATATAATAATCATTGCAATAATGATATAATCATAGACTTTTAAGCTTTGCCTATTAAATTTTATATATATATATATATATATATATATATATATATATATATAAATGTCGGGACAGTGTATTATGCATCTATTTTTGGTGTAGTAAGGGCCATGCTCTAATAATTGAGCTACAAGAACCCACTAGCAAAATCAACAACAAAAGAATATAAACTATTATAATCTATACTAACAATTTATAGTTCATTGCAACCTCCACAAAGTACTTCCTCCTCTGTCGATACACCTTGTCTTTGAATCCCTGCAATAGAGAACAGAGAATAACTTTACAATAAGGTTCCATTTATTAACATGAAATGGAAGTTGTGATAGTCTTTTCTTCCCATTTGTGATGTATATCCAAGTGAAACTGCTTCTTAAACAAAACAAAAAAATTAGGGCTGGATTTGATTTTGTCCATTGGACTTGAGAGCAACAGATTATCCCGCCCTAACGTGTGACGAAAAACGTGTCATGGGATTATTCATGTCTATTATTCATTGTTAACCCATGATAATCAACTTTAAATAATAATGTATCTGTTCTGTGATGCGCGTTCGTGACTCTCTTGTTCGAACTCGTTCATCAAAATGAACGAATCTTTTTTCAAATCTTTTGGTTCATTCAACAAACGAAATGAATGAATTGACTCGGAAAAGATTTGTTCATTTTGATGAACGAGTTCGAACAGGAGAGTCACGAACGTGCATCACAGAACAGAGCAAGGCGAGAATTGGAGCTTATAAAACTTAAAATTTTTATTATTTTTTGTTTTAAATGACCGATCGTTTCTCTTGATAAGACCCTTATTCATCGTTTGGAATCGTTTAAAGCCCTTTGAACAGTTTGCAGTTAGCACTGAAACTGTCTTTTGGACCTTGAACCGTTTGGTGCCCAATAAAGTGCATTATATGGAGAAAAATCCTGGAATGTTTTCATCAAAAACCTTAATTTCTTTTCGACTGAAGAAAGAAAGACATGGACATCTTGGATGACATGGGGGTGAGTAAATTATCAGCAAATGTTTTTTTTTTAAAGTGAACTACTTTAACAGATTTACTTACCGGATGGTCAGCATCCAGTTCTGAGCCATACATTAACACTCTATGTGAACATTGGTCCAGCTCTGAGATCTTTTGGGGAAACCATGGTATTCCTTCCCCATCTGCCAATCCTCCCAAAACACACACACAGTCCAAACAGTCTGTAATAAAGAGACAGATGAATCAGTAACAATATCACAGTCATTACACTGGCAATTCTTTCACAGAGAACTTACCAGTCTCCGCAGACCACACTTGTTGGGGTGTGTTATACGAGACAATGTTGACGTGGTCTTTCAGGTGCTGCACCAGCTCATTGAACTCTTTTTTTGAGCAGTTGCACTCTGCATATATCTCCACCTCATTGGGGACTCTCTTGGATCTGCGAGACTCAATATGGGCCAAATTCACTTGTTTCTCCTTTTAAACATACAGTAAACAGAACAGCAGGATGTCACTTTGGTTTCATCTTCACTGTCGTAATCAAAACATCCCTTATTAAAGTGTACTATTAATAAACCCCACCAAAGGATAAGGTGTTCACTAACCTGGAAGAGTCTTAGCGCTTTCACCAGGCAGCCCACTTCATTCTTCAGAGAGAAAATCACTGCTAATTTCCCAAGGTCATAGGTGGATTTCTGTTCCTCTTTGTCAGGTCTTTCATCTATCCGATTAAAGGATGTCCTGCGGAGCTGCTTGGAGGTGTTCAGTAAATATAAAAACTCTTAAGATGCAGAAATGGGTTGAGATAATAAGTAATTTAAGTAGTTTAAATGACAAGAGTGGTAATTAACAAACTCAAAAGAAGAATTTACACTTCCATTTTTTTTTGTAATGTTATGAATTTTGTAAGAAAACATTGCCTCTACATCCAGAATAACCAACAGACACTAAAGTTTTCCAGTGCAAATCAATGATTAATGCAAGTAACTAGTTAAAAAACAAACAAAGCAATTTAATATTTATTTGAAAGAAAAAAAAAACATTTCAAATGTATATTGAAATCACGGTTCATTATAAACAAATAGTATGGCAATTTGACTATATAAAATGTGGTGCCCAAAATAGGGTCAATCAAACTGTTCAGTACTCACCATTGAGGTTGCAAGATGTTGTTGGTCATACATTGCTGAATCCAAAGATAGTCCTCGCCGAGCCCAGTATTTGCTGGAGAACATCATCATAGCAGGTTGCATCTTCGGAATTACATCTTGACCTCTCTTCCTAAGCAGCCCAATTGGTGATTTAGGGGCTGTCTGCGGCCCCTTCGCATTGGCTTGTAGTTCAGAGGACATGGTTAGTGTTTCTTGAGAAGTCTTCTTTCCCTGCATTTCCTATGGCAAAGGTACTTTTGTCTCAGACGATTTTTCTTCAAGCTGTTCCTTGGAGATCACAAGGAGCACTTTGCATGTGCCACACACTACCTGACACTCCTCCCCCGTCAGTATCAGAGCTGGGATTATATACTGTGACGAATGACGTTGAGAAGGGCCACTCTCCAACACAGGGTAGGCTATCACTCATATTGGCTTTTGAGGGGATGGCTCTTCCATTAGGAAATGTCAGCTCGTCCAAGACCTGATTGAAGTGGATAAGCTCATCTCGCCCTCTAGGAGAAATGAATCTAGAGCAAAGTCATCAAGATTTCAAGATTCACAGAAATGTGGCTTCATTTTACAGATGTGAAGGAAAAGAGGGGGACATCACCCACCATTTTTGTTAGATATAAATGCCTTTGTGCAGTGTGTATCCTTCAGAGGTAGGATTTAGAAACGTTCGACATAGAAAACAAGGAAAATAAGAGCTTTAGTGAGATTAGAGCATTCGTTTCCATAAAGTATGAACTTAAATGTCAGTAATATTTATGGAAACGTCACCTCCTTTGAGGTCAGATGCATATTGTTTATGGTTCTGGCAAATAAGTACGTTTGTCAGTGCACAAGATGCTGCCGTTTTTTTTTTTAATGAAAGAGAGCTAGAAGAGAGATAACATTACAGCGGTGAGCAGTGAGCTATCAGCTTCCTCTGAGGCAATTTCCTGTGGAACAGGAAATGAAAGAGATGGAAGTTGATTCGGTGTGTCTTTGTTGTGGGCTGTGGTTATGAGTGGATAAAATAAATTTCATCATCAATCAATATTTTCACAGACTGTCCATCTTTTCCGCAAATGTCATAGCAGAACCTCTGAACCAAGACTACTGACTCTGAATAATCTAAAGCCACAGTTGGAACTGTTGCCTTTAGTCAAATGTTCCTTATTTACAATTACGAAGACCTTTGCAAATTGTATAAGGTGACTACCTAATTACAAAGTACTCTTAACTAATTAAATCTCAAGTTATGTAACACGTTAACTAATGTTATATTACATAACCCAAAATGTCTCTCTTCATTGGACAAGGACATGGGCAACAGCAGTGTATGTTAAATTTTGGGTTAAGTGTTATTTAAAAAGATTGAGTTCCACTGCTGGTAAAAGGAAACAAAAACTAACCAGTCAACAAGACTAATGGAAGACAGATTTTAATTTGAATCTGAATTATTTAGGAAAAGGGCAAACTGATAAGAACAAAAAATATATATAATATTCAACAATGGATACCCCACCTCTGAAACATTATGAAAAGTCTCTCTATACACTGAGAAGGAATGATTATTTCAATGAAAGACATTATGGTACAAGATTTTACAAAAATAATGCTTTAGGATCCTTTTGGATCCTAGTTTTACATTCATATATGTTCTCTGCGATTTTTTCTTTTCTTTTACAATGTGGCATTTGGTAGCAAATATCTACATGAAACCCAACACTGTTCATCTTGCTGGAATACAGGGGATATAAAATCTGTACTATACATCATGTAGTGCTGTACACTAGGAAATGAAGGCTACTTTGCAGCCGTTGTGTGTTGCTTCTTTTAAATGGCTGTGGCCGTTGGAGACGACGTGATCTTGTCTGTGTGAGGATCTTGGTGGGGTTTGAGGTGACTCAAGTATTCCATATTCACTGGTTTCTAATGCTGCAGAGGGTTTAGTGACTGTGTTGAGGCCCAGAATCTCACTCACTGAATGGGGCAAGTCCTTAGAGGGAAAAATAAGAGAATCAAAACTTGTATTACCGGAACAAAATAATCGTTTTCTAGAGATTTTGGGTCCCACTTTATATTAAGTGGCTTTAAGTACTGTGTACTTACATAGGAAAATAAGTACAATGTACTTATTGTGTTCAGGTTGTATTGTAAAACACTTTTGCTGCTATTGAGGTGTGATATGGGTAAGGTTAGGGACAGGTGTGGTGGTATGGGTAGGTATCAGGGTGGGTTAAGGTGTAAGGGAAGGGTCAACTGTGTAATTACAAATGTAATTACATCAATTAATTACAGTTGTAATTACATGCAGGTATTTTCAAAATATAAGTACAATGTAAAAACATGTATGTACACAATACGTCCAATGTATCAAAGTAGTAACTTCAATGTAAGTACATAGTACTTAAAGCCACTTAATATAAAGTGGGACCAGATTGGGTCTTTTGTTCAAATACCTCACTATCTGCAATCATGCATGTGACATACCTTACAATTCTTTATCTGCATACAGATAGATTCAGATTTGATAAGGATTTCTTCGATGTCTAGTTTCATGGAGAGTTCATTTATATGCTGTAAAGAAAACATATCAATAAGTATATAACTATTTTTCTCACAATCTAATTTGTGTATGTTGCAAGATGTAGATGCATATACTACTATTCAAAAATTAAAGGTGCTGAAGAAAAAATTCTAATTATTATTTAAAAAAAAAATAGTGGAAACCATGATCTATTCAGGATTTTTTGATGAACAGAAAGTTTTAAAAAAATTATAGCATGTATTAAAAACTATTTGTGTATTGTCACTTTTGAACAATTTAATGCATCCTTGCTGAATTAAAGTATTAATTGTCCAAGAAATAAATCTTACTGACCCTAAACCTCAGAATGATGTATTTAAGGCTTACCTTCAGGATTTCATTGAATCCATATTTTCTGTCCATTATTTTTTGTTTCTCAGAGTCTAAAATGGCACAGCACACCAGAAGGTGAAAGTTTTGGCAAGGCAGTCTGGTCCACATAACCTGAATGGGAAAATATAAATTGAAGAAATTATTAAATCAAATGCCAATATAACACAAGTATAATCAAAATTATACCGGACAGTAGCTGCAGTGTCCTGAGAAACAAAGGAATGGACTGATGGTTATTATTACACACCTCCCAAAGGCGAAGGACGTCCTGAAAATGTAGCTCTCTCTTGAATCGGATCAATAACCAGCGAAAACAGAAATATAAGTACCCAGAATCCTGTGCCTCTGTGAAAACACATAAATACAGAAGTAAACACAATGCCTACTGATGGTCAACATTAATGAAAAAGACTAGTCTTCCTCTGGGTATCTTACCAAGGTAGTTCCAGAAGGCCAGATCTAGCAGACGAAGCAAAGTACTGAGCTGAATTAGTTGGGTCTTCATCCCTTGCATCTGCTCTTCAAAGTTTTCATGCTGCCACAGACATTAGTGACAATTAAAGAGATCCTATTATGCTTTTTATCATTTTCAACTTCCTTTAGTGTGTAATGTCACTGTTTGAGCATGAATAAGGTCTGCAAAGTTACAAAGTCCACACCAAAAGGGAATTATTATCTATATCAGTGCGCACTGTTTTTGAACTCCCTGAAACGCTTCAATTGTAGTCTTGAGTTTTCTTGCAGGAATGAAGAGGTCACAATTTCGCTCATTTAAATAACTCACAGGCAAGGCATACACACACAAAAAACAAGGCCTGGTTGATTTTCATTAGTGTGTTTAAACTTGCGGTTGTGGAAATGGGCGTGACATTTCTGCAACAAGCTCGAATCGGTTGACCAATTACAACACACTGGTCCAGCCGACCAATCCTTTTTTTTCAAAAGGAGGGACTTCATAGAGACGGGAACTAAACAGGTGTTCTCGAAAGCATTGTTAGCCAACTATGGTCGCAAGTGCTTTCATTACCAACATGCTTCAACGATAAAAATACAAACAAAAACAGTCATGGTTTCTAAGTGAATATATAGTATAGTGTAATTTGTTCCTGTGATCAAAGCTGAACTTTCAGCATCATTACTCCAATCCTCCAGTGTCACATGATCCTTCAGAAATCATTCTAATATGATGATTTGATGCTCAAGAAACATTTATGATTATTATTAATGTTGAAATCTGTTATTTTTACATTTTTATTTCAGGATTCTATGATGAATAGAAAGTTCAAAAGACCAGCATTTATCTGAAATAGAACGCTTTTGTAACACTTACCCTGTCAGTAATAATTTTTGGGGTCAGTAATATTTTTTATTTTATTTTAAAATAAAATAAAAAAAATACTTTTATTCCTCAATGATGAGTTAAATTAATCAAAAGTTACAGTAAAGACATTTATAATGTTAGAAATATTCTATTTTAAATAAATGCTTTTCTTTCGAAATTTCTATTCATCAAAGAATTAAAAAAAATTGCACACAACTGTTTTCAACATTGAAAATAATAATGCATTTTTTTAGCATAAAATCAGCATATTAGAATAATTTCTGAAGGATCATGTGACACTGGAGACTGTAATAATGATGCTGAAAATTCAACTTTCATCAGAGGAATAAAATACATTTGAAAATATATTAAAACAGTCATTTTAAATTGCCATAATATTTCACAATATCACTGTTTTGGTTTTGTTTCGATCAAATAAATGCAGCCATGGTGAGCAGAAGAGACTTCTTTTAAAAAAATTACAAATCTTACCCATCTAAAACTTTTGACCAGTAGTGTATTTATCACATTTTATTCTATATATTTTGACGCATTAACAATCGACAGCATTTTTGAACAGTGCGCAAGAGCCTAAATGCGCAAGGCAACCCTTGACGTATGAGGAAGTCCGTGATGAATCAAACATCAAATTAAGTAATATAGTCAGCAGCATCTCGGAGATCTCGAATAAGTTATTACTCCTCCACGTGCGTGTGACTTCATTAACGGCAGTCCTATATTGTTGAACCAATGTGGTTTAAATGACAGAGGTGCGACCATGTTACTACGGTTTTGGGAAACAATGGTGAATATGTGTATACCGACGGTGCCTTATACTGCGGTAGTTATTCAGCATTGTACGGGAAACACACCCCAGAGCGTTCCTGACAGACTGGAAAGAGAGGTGCTGCAACAATGCAAAATATGTGCGAAAATAATGTATTTTTTGAACATTCAAGCATGAAAATCTATTCTAATAAACCCCCAAAACAAAATCAAAACAGGACCCCTCTAAAAAAAACCTCTCTCCCTATAATGACTTAATATGCAGAGACAACTAGAAGTAAACCATTTGTTGGTTGACTAATTTAGTCCATTTAAAATGCTTGCCCAAAACAGCGATAGCGTGAGGACAGAATCATGGTTTATTGATGCAGGCAAATCTTCTCACAAACAGCAAACCCAAGAGTGCTAAAGAGAGATGTGCTGAAACAAACGTATTGTATTACCATTTCATCCATGAAGGAAACAAAGCACCAGAAGGCATCTACTTCATTCTCCATTACAAAAAGGACAGGAGAGAGCAGGTCACTCATACCCTGCACGTACCCTGCACAGGAACAGGAAACCGGATAAATACAGGTCAAGTAATGTAAGCAATCGTAAAGCACTTAAGGTAATCCATAATCTAAATAAATGAATGTGCAATTAAATCACATTGATTTAAGTGAAAACAAGGGATCAGCATGGGAGTCAGTAGTATACTGTACATATCAGTAGTTGATATTTTAATTCAGAGAAGTTGCACTGAACAATAATTGAAACACATGTAATCACTTACCTAAGTCAAAGTCGTACATGCAGTATGTCATCAGGATGTCATGTAGTAAAATCAAGCCAGGGTTGTCCAGGCCTTCATAAAACTTGTTATTGCGGTCGGTTCGGTTCACATCTTTTTCTAAAAGAGATTTAACAACCACAAACTGAGCTTCACCCAGGTAGAGAAAAGGTGCATGGGAATATTTTTAAAACAACTAAAGAATAAAACTTGCAATGTAATTAAAGACATACCAATCAGGCTCCTGTAATCTCGTAACCTTGAGTTTCTCCTTTCCTGCTCCTCACTTACTGACTTCCACTGGAGCTTCATTCTGAAGTATTCATCACTGTTGAGAGAACACACGATCTTACGTATGCGTCTTCTAACGAAAGAGAGCTTTAAACAAATGATGTCGATTCTCTGAGGGAAACATGCGTACGTTTTACTCTTTAGCAGGAGCTTCCTTTCTTCATGAGTGCTGTTCCACGGAAAATAGCCAAGCAAAAACTTCCAAGCCTCTTTCCTTACTGCGTGACAAAGGCCC